CAGAGAGACAAAGAAGGGAGAGACAGAGACAGATACAGAGACAAAGAGGGGAGAGAGAGACAGAGACAGAGAGAGGGAAGAGAGAGAGAGAGAGAGAAACAGAACTGAGAGATAGCCTGACTTGCCCACTTCATGCCAAGGCTCAGTTCCCTCCTTCTCCAGTGCCAGTTCAACACAAAAAGAAATAAAGTGGGGAGGAAGACTAGATGACAAAAAGTGCATAGAACATTCACTAATGCCTATACATTCACACACCTGTCTCTGTCCATCTATTTTGTTATTCTATCAGCCCTATTAATTCACTAAATTGAGCTGCATTTTCTGTTGTTAGCTTGGTCTTGACTGCAGGCTGTATGGTAAATCTCTCAAGACAAGCCCCGGGCAGGCGAAGGCACCGCAGAAGTGCTTATGAAGAATGTGCACATGCGCAGTGGACAGGGAAACGGCCAAATCGTTGACTCAGAGCAAAAGGCGCTGAGAACACAGACAGCCCTCCCGCCTGGTCCCAGCTCAAGGATCCCTCGCTTGGACAAGGCAGCTGTCTACCTCCTTATTTCTCTCTTTTCCAATAATGTGATTTTCTTTCTCTTTCCATACTTATGTCTCTAAAGGTTTTTTTTTTTTTGGTCTTTTGGGACGGGCTCTCGCCTTGCAGTTCAGGCTGGCCTTGAGCTCACTTTGTAGCCCAGGTGGTTTCTGACTCACAATGTTTCTCCTGCCTCAGCCTCCTGAGTGCTGGGCTTTCAGGCTTGTACCACCCAGCTTGTACTTACATCTCTAATTCTTTTAATGAGCCCTAGATAAAAATAAAAATCTACCCGCAGGAGATGTAACAAACTTGATACTTGGAAATAACTGAAAAAGAAACTTTAAAAACACATAAGTTTATGTTGGCAAAACAACATTTGCAGCAATCAGGAGGAAAAATGTTCTTAACATGACACTAAAATTAAAGTAAGATCCTCTGTGAACCTACAGGTTACAGTTGTTATAATTCAATCAAATGCAGAAGCAAACTCCAAAGCATATATGTGGCTTCACCAAGGTTTCCTAAAATTCCATCATTACCTTTGAAAAACATCAACAATGCTGTAAACTATGATTTAAGGGTCATGTGATGTGGCACTGGGATAAGCAAAGTGATTTCCTGTATTAGGCAAAAGTGTGCTCTGTTAACAAAGCCTCATATTAACATATTAAGTATTTCTCTTAAGACACAGTAATGGCTGATTAGGTAACACTATATGTGAAAAACAAAAGACTAATACATTTTAAAAATATTTATATTTAAGAGCAAAATTGCTTATATTTAACATGAAGAAAATGCTTACCATGCAAGAAAATCACTGACTATTCCTTGTTAAATCTCCTAAAATAATAATACAACTATCAAAATCAAGAAGGTTGCCTGGCAGCACAAAGTCCTGAATTCAATCAATCCCCAGTATAGTAAAAACAAACAAACAAACAAAAAAAAAACAAAGCAAAAAAAAAAAAAACAAAAAAAAACAAGGTAACAGGTCTCTGCTTGTGTACTTACTTCTTCCTAGCTGCATCATTCTCTTTGATTCACTCAGTCCCTTTGTAAGGATGTCCTCTGCATCCTGGGACTTACAATGTTAATAGAGTCCAGGAGTTTCCTTTGCAATTTAGCTTATTAATTCTCATTGTTCAATCTCTACCATGTTTATCTTTATACTAAAGCAGTGCTATAAGCGAGGCCTTCTGCTAGATGGAAATAAAAGTCATTAAAGTTGGATGAATCATGAAAGTCTTGGTACCGCAGATCCAGAGGGAAGGGGAACATCAAAGTGAGATTCCACATGAAGGCTGGACGCATCACGGCCCTCGGCGACTCACCCTTTACTTAAGCATTAGCTTCTCCAAGCCCCTCTCTCCAAATCAATTTTCCTGGATGGGCTAGCCTCATGGGCATCTCCAGCCGTGCACTCAACTTTAGGGGCCTAAGCTTGGCTTAATGTTCTGATGCTCCCATTGTGAGCTTCTTAATAGCTTTTGAACAGTGGACCCAGAATTTTATTTTATTTTTGGATACCAAAATTTAGTGAGCCAGTCTTGCCCTGGGAGGGACAGTACATAAAGTCATAGTATAGATTTATCTAATGATAAGTTTTCTTAATGTCTGTAGGGAATTATACTTAAAAAAACAAGAGTGACAACAAATGTCAAGATAAAAGAAGTAATATAATGACAAATGCTGACCTCCAAAGGCCTGTGTGCATAAACTAGATCAATTCTTTTTTTTTTTTTTTGCGGAACCGGGGATTGAACTCAGACCCTTCTGCTTGCCAGGGAAGCGTTTGTTCTACTGAGCCATCTCCCTAGCCCCTAGATCAATTCTTTTAAATAATTATTTTGTGTAACCTAGTATGTGTCAAGTGCTGTCCCACATGCTGAGATGACAATATGCAATACAGACAAAAACTCAAAATCTCAGAATTCATGGAGGTCTGTAAGGAGGAAAAGGTCTGTCTACAGTAAATGAGGATCTCCTGGAATAGGGTGGGGAGTTAGCTCAGTGGCATAAGCGCTGGCCTGATGTGTACAAGGTCCTGAGTTAGATCCTGGCACGCACACACAAAAAGAAATACAATGCACTTAGTATTTGGGGCTATTACCATTGGTAGCCAGGCAAAGTGATGACTGTTAAGAAAATACAATCATCACAACATTGCAAGTGATCTTTTACTACTGAGACACTTCTTGAGTGAAATCTGCTCTCCGATAATCTTAGGTTTTCCTTTTGGAAACTTTGAATTTCATAAATCAATAGTGGTGGTATAGCTCAGCGGACTAAAGCACCTGCTTATGCAGGCATAGGGACGGGGGATTCAATCCCCAGCCTTCCCTGCTGGCCCCATCCCAGGGTGCACTGAGATGGCAACTGAGACTGGGAGTGGTGGCGCAGGCCTGTAATCCTAGCGCATTGGAGGCTGAAGACAGGAGGATCACAGCAGGTCTGATCTGTGTAGTGAGACCCTGTAGATCCTGTACTAAATACATTAAAAAATAATAAAATAAAATAATTAAATCAATAGTGGTGATTTTCTTTATTTTGTCATGCACAATGCAGAGTCTTAAGATGAAACTATGACCAGCATATTTAAAAATGCATTCTCATCCTAGGAATAATTTTATAGTACTCCTCTCTTGCTTTCCATACCAAGAATTGAACTCCTGACCTTGTGTTTGTCAGAAAGGTACTTGCATAACTTTCTTTTCTTCTCTCTGAAATCTGGTTTTTGTTTAAAGCTTAAGAATCATGTTGGAATCTTTTTAGGTAGCAGAATTGATCCTTTGTAACTGGATTTTCTGTCACTGCTTCTGAAAGAGAATAGTTGAACAAAACCAGACAACCAAACAAAACCAGATGACACTTAGGATTATAATCCTCGAACAGTGTCTTTCAGGATACAAGAACAAATGAGCATGGACCTTCCTAAATTGTTCTTATTCTTGTAGGAAGTATGAGTGAATGCCAATATAGTGTCATTTGGCACGCTGATGTAGGTAACCAGTAGATATTTTGGTTGAATGGATACATAAATGAATGATAATTGCGTGTGAACAGTCATATCGTCAATGAATCCATTTGCTAAAACTACCACCAATAAGTAAAAATTAGTTAGATTTTTTTTGAAAAGGTAGGCTTTTTGTAACCCAGAAAAAAGAATGTCCAAACACATCCAATTTTTATCCTCCTTAATTCGTTTCTTATTAATTATAGCAGATAAAAATTGAATGTCTGTTAGAAAGTAGAATAGTAACAAGTAAGCGCATTTGGTGCCTTGAAGTATAAACCTGTGTTCCTCAAGAAATGAAATCAATCCCGTGTGCACTGTGATTTGGAGCCGCAGAAAGGCACCAAGTCACAGGGGAATGACAGCATGAAAGTCAAGTGCTTCCTAAATGGGAAAGAAATGCCAACAGTTACACATTCATTCATTAAAAAAAAAAAAATCCCTCCTACAATTGCAAGCTATATTTTCAGTATATATTATTGACCTAGCACTACATAAGAGTCTTCAATTAAAATTCGCTCTGGTAACTTGCTACAGAGCAAACACAGCTACTTTGGAATTCTCTGGCTATGTATCGATTGTACTTCGCAGAATTACAGGGCTTTAAAGCACCGTGAGCACTAATCTCATGTATTCTCCCCATGCAAGTGACCACTGTGCTCCTGACCTACACATGCACACTTAAGCAGGACAAAACGGAGAGGATGTTTTTATTTTTTAGAGAATGAATTTCACCCCATCCTACTTTTCCATTTAATTATTTTCATGGTGAAGATATTTCACCATGCTATTCTCCAAAAGTCCATTGTGATTACAACTTGAACACCTTTATTATTGGTTTTGGACAGTATTGTTTTTATAACTTTTTATTGTTTTTATAACTTTTATTTAAATATTCTTTTTTTAACATTTATTTATTTGTGTGTGTGTGTGTGTGTGTGTGTGTGTGTGTGGCCAGCTCAGCCCACCAGGGGGCGGGGCTGTCTGGCATGTGGTGCTGGGGGATTGAACCGTGGTCCCTGTGCTTTGCTGAGCTTGTTCTAAGTAGGTGCTTTAGACCACTGAGCCATCTCACCAGCCCCTAAATATTCTTAAATTAATGCTCAGGACTTTTTTTTAAAGAATGGGATCATCTCTTTAAAAATGTCTAGATCCTTTAAGCATTCGTTGTTTATTAATATCATTTGAAGCTCTATATAAAACTTTTTAGACAATATCATTTAATCTAGAGGCCTACAAATACATACTTGTCCCTGTCAGTGCTATTATTTTTATTTGTATAGTTTCTGTAAAATCTCATACAAATCTAAGCCAAAAGAGAAGCAACAATACCTCTTAAGCTGATTTTCACTGAGCATTCAGAAACTATACTTTGCTTGACCAAGACTATTGTTTTGCTAAATGTAAAGAACTTATTCTAAATGTGAACATGTTCTACATCAGAAATATGACGCTTACCTGTGCTGCTGGAAATATTAACATCAATACTGATGTCAGAAATTCCTCCTCCCTTCAGAGAGGCTACACACGTATAGGTCCCAAAATCCGTGAATTTTAAATCAATGATATCCAAGTTGGTGGTTCCAGGGGAGATATCGGGATCAGTCTGGGTAATCACCATCCTCTCAGAACTTCTTAACGGTCGGCCATTTTTAAACCAGCTGAAGGTTAGCTCCTCAGAAGGGACAGCTTCTACCTGGCAGGATATTTTCACCTCTCGCCCGATCTGGATGTTGTCGTCTTTGTGATAAGGGTCTGGGGTGATCCAAAACCGTCCTTTTTTTAATGCTAAAACACAAAAATTTCACAAAGAGTTAGTATTACTCTGATAACATTAGGGATTCAGTCACCGGAGGCAACTACTCTGAAGGAGCTAAAATAGTGTGAAGCAAAAAATAACTTGCACAAGCTCCTCTGCTATTTCTTAGCAGTATGCATACCAGAAAGCCTTATTTAGGTAATCCAGAAATTATCTAAGATCCCAAATCAATTCAAGACTGTAGCCATAGTTTTTTTCATAAATTGAGAAATATTTTCCAGTAGTACAAAAAATAACACTTAACGTCTATATGCTACACTACACTTAAACATTATTAACATTGATTTTGAACAAATGATGGAATCAGTTTATGTATTCTTATATGGAATTAAAGTTGAAAGCAATAATGTGGACCATTTAGCCTTGTATTTTCCCTCCACCATTCTTCTAACTACTCCATAATTTCCCAAACAACTCGAATATTGCACAAATGTTATAGTAAACAAACCAACAAAATTCCAAACAGTTGTGTCTAGCTCCTGACCACAACATCTCAGTCAGAATTAATTTGGCTCACATTCACAGGGCATTTCAGAATTAGAAATAAGCTAAACTGAGGAGCAAAAGTGTTTTTAAAATGCTGTGAACTGCATCATTCCACCACACATAGATGTTTCCAGTTAAAACAGCTTGCTGGCTCTCGCATGCGCAGGACTAGAAGAATCTGGCCGGCAGACGGCAGATGGCTTGGAACAAATGTCGTGTTTGAATCTTTATAGCAGTGCATTCTGGGTCTAAGTCTCAGAGCGGTGTTCACAGCTACGAAAAGCAGTAATGGCCACCAGAAAGCTGCTGGGAGAGCCACAGGCTTCCTAGGGCCCGGACTTTGAATAACAGTGGGGCTCAGTATAGAATAATGTTTGTGTTCTTCTATTACTGGGTTATAGACATAATATTTTCTGTTTTTCAACATCCTCTGCATTTCCTTTGATGTCACTATCTTTAAGTGATGAACCATAGTAGATGCAGTGAAACATAATTACCAAAATAAAGCAATGACCGGATCACTTTTGTCATTCAACCTCCCTACATAATGATGCTGCCAAAAAGGATGTGAACTTAGAGACCTGCAAACAAGAGACCTACTAACTGCTGGATAACCTCTCCTCAATTTAACCAGATTGTCCTCAGTTCGGAAAGGAGGACAACCATGAACTTCAGAGCCATCTATACAACGGATTAAGATGAATACATTTTCAAATCCTAAAAACAATTGTTCTTTACCCTCAAATACTTTCAACTGATTTCTTATCTGTGTCCTTGTGAGGAGAGAGAACAAACATTGAACACACAATGCTTGTATTTTTCTTTTAAGTTAAGACGTGTGCCTAGATGCCCCTTTCTGGACTAGGTGCTGGATTAGACACTGATTAGATGAGATGAACAAAACAGACAGCCAATGCCCTCCTATGCAGCAATTTGGATACAAATAGATTACAGTCCAATTCATTCACTAAATACTGGACACTCACATACAGAGAAGCTACACACAACATTGTGATGAAATGGTTTAAATGCTGGAAGAAGTCCAAATTACAGAAAAGAACACTCCAACTTTTTATTTAGAAAATGTACTAATCTTCAATCTTAATGAAAACACCAGAAAACAAATGTATCACATTTTAATACTACTGTTATGCTGCCCATAATAAATGAAGCTTCTAAATTGTACTTATTCCCAATGATATCATTATAAGAAGCTTACCACAGGACAAAACTAGGATAAATTGTGTTATCTTATTGCCAGAAGTTACTTATTTATATCAGCACAGGCACTAAAGTATGATTTCATGTGTATCCCAAAAGGAAAAGTGGGAGGGAGATGTCCCTATTTGGCTACCATGTTTGATAAATAAAACTGCATTCACACATCTCAAATATAATTGTAAATCTATAGCACAAAATGAGTTATAGAAACATAAATACCCTTTTCTTTTTTAAATAAATCTAAGAAAATAGTGTCTTAAGAACGTTTACTTTTGTTATTACTATACCATTGATTAAATAAGAACTTCTTTTCTGATAATTTTTCTCATCTTGAAAGAGAAATGATAAATCTAAATGGAATTTTTACACCAAAGTCATAAATTTGAACAATTTAAAACTCTACATATTAATTTATGAATAATTTTGTTATTATTATGAGGGTACATATTGAAATCTTTAGCATAATTTCATTATAATGTTGTTTGCAATATACAAACACAATTAAAAACTTGATGTGATTAATACTTACTAAGTGACTAACATTTTGTAGTTCTATGATTTCTACACTCACTATTAACATGATACTGATGTTAAAAAATTGCAGCCTTATCCGCCACATCAGATTTAAACTACTAAATAATTCAAAGTCTACTGATATTTTAAAAAGTGAGCTCGACATCCACTTTATGTGTTTTGGACCTTTATTCATGAAAAATAACATGCAAAACCCAAAGTAAAAAAAAATAAGGTAATATACTTGTAATAATGATTAAATATGATAGCTATTTACAGTATTTGACCAAAGGCAATATAAACAAATGTGATTTTAAAATTAACTAAAATTAATTCTATAGAAAAGAAATTGTTCATTTTGGTACTCAACAATTCTATGATTTCTCCTAGTCAATCATGTGATTTTCTCAATGGCATAATTCTAAAGAGAAAAAGAAGGCTCTGTATGTTTGTTAATTGGACTTAAGTTATAAAATATCAGAACACATAGCTTTAATCATTTGACTGGCCAGTTATATCACTGTGTATGTTTATATTAGCCCTGAAAGATAAGAATTATGTGTTCCAAATGGAAACATTATAAAGAAAATAATAGTGTGTCAGTGGTTTTCTCACTTCAATTGTCCATAAAAGTAAAACATAGCTCTGTAAATTAGGCATGGGTACATGAGAATTTGTAACTTAATTCAGTTTTTCCCTCGATGTAGTCCAAGATGGGCAATCTAATTTTTATGGGTCAAGTGTGTCATTTATAAAAAATATGAGGTGATAGTATTAAGCTCCCTCGGAGACCTTTGGGAGAAATAGCTTATTAACAATTGTGTTTGAGGTCTGAAAATGTAGTGTTTAATATAGTTAATCAGCCTGGAAGTAGGTTCCTTCGTTTATAATTAAACACTCTTTTTTCAGATAACAATTTATAGCAGTAGTTCATGCAATGTTAATTTAAAGTCATTTCCTGCTACCAGTTAAGATTTCAAACTCAAAATCAATCTGTGATTAGAACTATAGTATAACAGGGGTCCAATAGACTTAAAGAGACTCTATAGAACTAAACACATTCTTTGGAAAAAGAAAAGAGAAATCCCTTTCCCCAAATGTAATTGCTTAGCCTGAATATTGAAAATCCCCTAACATTAGCATGAGGGAACATTACATTTGGCTTAATGTATCATAAATTGTGATGGATGAATCTCAGAAGGCACTTGTTTCATACCACAGCACTTGTAAAAGGTTGGCATGAAGCTAAGCCTCTGTCTGCATAATCAACCTGTACACAATGCAATGCAACCATAGTCTCCCTTTTTCAGTCTTGTGAGAATGGAAAACACAGGTGGACCACATACATTTTGATGGGTACCTGTGAGCCCAGTCTAAATCCACTTTTACTGAAGTCTCCTTAATTTGGGATACACAAGGATGCTCTGGGAATGAAAGAAAACATGTGCAAAGTTGTGGATATTATTTGCTGCTGCCATTTCCTTGGAGACAAAAGTAGATTTTTGCTTAAAAATGTGACTGTTTTAAGGCAGACTTCTGCTGTTTAGAACTAAATGGACTTTCAGACTTAGGCTTGATACACAGAGTTTGAACAGGGAGAAGTCGAAGTTTGTGGTTTCCATGGGGTGGGTAAGACTATATCTTTTTTTATTTTTTTTTTTATTTTTTAGGGAAGGGTCTACAGCGTGTTCAGGGTCTCACTACCAGACTGGACTCATAGTGATCCTCCTGTTCACAGCCTCCCAAGTGCTGGGATTACAGGCACGCACCACTACACCCAGTCTCGGGTGAGACTATATCTTAACAGAAGCTGTAGACTTCAAACTATGAAATACAAGACTTTATAGAATGCACGGGGAAGTACGCACCACATACAGTCTCAAAATAAAATTTTCAAACAGAACAAAAGCAAAGTAGACAACAGTGTTTTCCTCTTTAATGAAAAAGTATGTCTTTGGAAATAAGAAATATCTGGCAGCCAGTTTTGGAGTTTTGCTAAAGATCAGTTTCAGAAGAATCATGAGACACAAAATAATCCACTACTTACTACTCTAGGGTGATAATTAAGTGAAAACACTTGGCAGATGTAGCCTGTCTTATAAACAATAGAGTTCTGAAAATGAAAACCTTACAAATTGTTGCTGAGAGGAATGGGTCTAGAAATCATTAATAACATAATCAGATAAATTTAAAAAATGATGTTCTATTCCTTTATCTTCTGCTAAAAAAGAAATTGTATGGGAAAAGAAGTGCTCCCCAGTCCTGCCAGATGCCAACTGAATAAGCAGCTAGAAATGGATTATATCAGGAAAGCAAATTGAAAGGTAGTAGGTGATCCTGTACATAATCTTCCCAAGTACAATTAAGCATCTATCTCCTTATGGCAGTTATGAACATCTTGAAGGAGCACATTTCTCTATGCTCCCCAAATCCTAAACATGTTTCCATGTTAGGCTTTGTACTCAAAAATTTCATTGAGTTTAATTAACATCCGCATTTCACAGGTTTAATATGACAGATGTCATTTGTTTCCAATCTGTCTGATATGTCCAGTGTTATCTTTGGGTTTGTTTTATAATCCAGCATTCCAATACACAATGAGGGAAATGGGACAGAGAGCACA